CCACCGCCCCCCCACGGCCCCCTCCCGCTCCCTCGCGGAGCCTTAGCACGTGCAGCTCCCTCTCCCTGCCCCCTGATCGCCCACAGCTGGCCCCATTTTGCTATTCAGACCTCAGTTGCAATGTCACTTCCCCGAGAGGCCTTACCTGTCATCCAACTCAAAATGGACACCCATCACTCTTGATTACATGAGCCAGCTTTAATGCGCTGTGTAGCATTCACCTGGGTTCCTAACTGTTGATTTGTTTATTGTCTGATGCCCCAACTAAACTGCCAGATCCGGGAGACCAGCTGTCTGCCCAGTGCCCAGCACTGAGCCTGGCCCAGAGCGGGCCCCACACATTGAACAAAGCCTTCTGGGGTGAAGACGGCAGCTGTCCGCAGGCCAGAGCCTCTGCCTTCCCAGCCTGCGCCCTGCTGACTCCAGACCCTGCCTTCAGCCACAAGGGACTGACAGAACAGTCGAGAGCACCGGCGTGGGATCCAAAGGGCCTGGGTTAGAATCCAGCTCCTCCCCATGCTAGAGGTGGCCCTGGACAGGTTACGTCACCACCCCATGCCTGTTTCTTCACCTGTAACATGGAGACGATAATCACAACGTCTACCTCACAAGGTTTTGGTGACCTGAAAGGACGATGCGTCTGAAGTCCTGCATACAATCAGCGCCCCATACGTGTTCGCCGCTGCTAGGGAAACACGCTTGATTATATCAAGAGGACGATCTGTGTGTCTCTCCCTAGCAGAACTGTCAACTCTGAGAGGACAGGGATGGTGACTGGGCCCCCCTCCTCCTCGGTGCCCACCACCTTCCACGGCGCATGGCACATCCCATAATCATCGGTGGGGGCTCGCTCTTCTCAGCTGGAAACCCAGAGATCTTGAGTTCAGGGGCCCATGAGCTCCCTCCAGCTGGCAGGTGCTCGAGGCCACTTGGAACCTGCTCCTGTTTCCTCTCTTTGTCATCCCAATACCTTAACAAGCCTCGCAAATTCCCTTGTTTTCCAAAAGGAGCCGATTCACAAAAGTGGGCTAGACCCTTAGGGCGGAAGACGTGCTATGCAAAACAATCGGAATAGCTCCCCTGCCTTTCAGGTTATTTCTGCGTCCCCCGCCCCCTCGTGGAAAACAGTGCTCCGTCTCCAGGCCCCGTGGACACGCTCCCTCCGAAGAAACGAAATGTACGTTCCGCAGAACTGCCAAGATCACAGCCGATTTCCAAAGAAAATTGCCTCTATCCATCAAAGCAGCCCTGAGCCTGTCGTGCGTCTGTGAGGAAGACCCCGAGCCAGCCTCTCCCCAGGGTCTTCTCACAGGCAGTGGCAAGAAAGCCCACCGCTGGAACAAAAGAAAATGAGACACGAAGAAGGAAAGGAAGAGCCACCGGAATCCACAGATGTCCCCCGTGCAGGCCCTTCGCCGACGCCACCGAACCCCGGGTCGCACAGAGTCCTGGAGTCCTGGCAAATGAGCTTTCCAGCCCGTGGCCAGACCGCGGCGGCCCAGCGGGGAGGCCGTCCAGCCTGGTTGGCCCTCCCACCTCGTCCCCCAGTTCCAAGCCTACCCGAGGTGCAAGGCGGCCATCCCTCGGGAAGATGCTAATGGAAAGCATCCAAACACATCCGGCAGCATCCGCTCAGGTGCTCCCTCCACGGTGACAGGAGGACTCGCCGTTACCCCCGAAACTAGGAGAGGGCGAGAGGCGGCACCTGAGCTCTGTCACTCACGGGGGTTTGGGATCCCGTGGGCACTGAAGACAGCCGTTTTCACAGCCTGCATTTCTCACAGCTTCACGGCCGTTTGCCTTTGCACACGACCTTTACACAGAGCCTCCTCACGGAGGCTGAGGACAGTGCCAAAGCCACGGGGTAGGCGCGGTGGGGCCCAGGTCCTCAAAACCTGCACCCCGCCACCCCGCCCCTGCCCCCGCTCTGGCTTCTCTCTGAGCCTCGATCCCCCCGGCTCCCGGTCCGTGTGGCAGGAAGAACGCCGCCCTGTGATGGGGTTTGCCTAGGACGTGGAGAGCGCACCGGAAGCAGCAGGCCTCACGCCGTCCCGTTCATGAGCATCTTTCCTGCTTCCGTCAGGCCACTTGGCTGGCCCTGTCTCAGCTCTGCCACCAGACCCGAGACCGTGCCCTCCGTGGGAGAAGACGCTCCCTCCCTCGCCCCTGGATCCCTGCTGTCTGACTCGGGGCTCACACGCGATGGGCCCACGATTTGCGTTTCTGAGTTCACCGCACCCTCCATGAATGGGGAAGGGGGTGAGACCCAGATCCCCTCTCCCGAGGCTTATAATCAGCAATAAGCCCTGAGCCTCCCTAAGCCCGGCACTAAAGTGAAAAGATGAAAGCAAGAAAGGTCCTGCTCCCCAGAGCTTTCGCTGCACCCCTCCGGCGTTGGACTGGCTCGGGCAGCCCAGCCACAAGGACCTTCCCTTTGGGAAAGAGAGCAGTGATTTGGGTTTTGGCTGGAATTGGGAGCCGCTCTCCACTTACATGGTTGTCTGGACAGAAAACTTGGAACAAAGCTACAAGGTCAAGGTCCTTGCAGGCCACCTCTTGAGCCAGCTGAGATCGAATGACTTCCAGAGGTGAATATCCCCAGTTGGTAGATGATGAAAGAGCCAAGTGCTTCCTGCGGTCACGAGCGAAACGCCTGGAGGTCAAGGAGCCGTATTCAGGGTTTTCCTGCGCACAGCTGGGCTTCATTCAGGAAACTCTGGGGCTCCCTGTTCAGATAAGGCGCTGGGCCAAGTACCATGGGGAAACGGGAGGCGGGGCGGGGGGCGGGGACCGCAACACAGCTGGAAAGGCGCACACCTGGAGCCTGGCCTCAGGCCCTGAGTCCCAGCCCTGCCACCTAGCACTCATGAGCTTGAGCACATCACTCCAACCCTCGGGGGCAGTTCCCTCTGTGACCAAGTGAGTAGGGAGGATTCTGGGCCTGGCAGTCACTTGTCCCATGTCATATGGGCCCTCTGGAACAGATTGGGGTCAAACAACAGCTGGTCTCAACCCTGTTCTGCAGCTGGCGAAACCAAGTGCTTTTGCTGGCACTGATTTTATAGACAAGAGCATTTGTCCACCAAGGATGTATGTAGAAAAAGGAGCCCCTGCCATACAGGATGCTGGTTCCCCAGCCTGCTTTCTCTGACCATTTGCCAGTTGCTCTTTTTTTTTTTTTTTTTAAGGCGAGGAAACACTTGGTTGACCTCACAGATTGCAAGGACCTTGTCAGCTGACAATCCCTTATTTTTTAAATTTTTTACCCCTACAGCACCTGGTCTTCCTAGGTGGTCTCCCATCCAGGTACTAACCAGGCCCGACCCTGCTTAGCTTCGGAGATCAGACGGGATCGGGCTTGCTCAGGGTGGCGTGGCCGTAGGCTGCCAGTTGCTCTTTCTTCGTTCAGGTTAACTACACCTAGTTCAGGTTAAACATATCTGGCTCAGGTTAACTAAGGGAGCTCTTTCACTCAGAAATACTTAAGGCACACGAAATCATTGAGTATAAGAGAACATACAGTGTAACGAACCGTATACAGTTTCTAAAACAGATAACAGAGGGTTTTCAAAAGTCTACAGGCAACATTTCGCAGTAATTGAGAACGCGTGTGGGATTCGCGCCAGTCCCTTCTCCCCAGGGAATGCTAAAGCGCCAGCTGAGCACGGAGCTGGGACAGCTTGCCGGCGTGCTCCCCTTCCGTATGCGGCACGATCAGATGCAGTGTTCTCTGAGGTGGAGCCTTCTCTGGGGCAGCCCCGCGGGGAGGCAGCTGGGGGTGCCAGACACAGCACGAGCCGGAGACACTCGGACTGGGATTTGGATCGGGTTACGTCATCTGAGTTTGTGTGGTTCTGGCTGGACCACAGTTAGCTTGTCTATAAAATGGCCGTGGCCACACCTAGCTCATAGGGTTGGAGAGAGAGTTCTAGGTAATGTACAATGTACCTAAAGCGCCAACACGTAGGCATTCTTAATATATGGTAATTAGGCTTACAGTCTGCGAGCGAGAGGCTTTTCAGTCTGCTTAGTTTTGCAGACTCGGAAATCTTGATTTTGCCAGCCTACGGCAAGCTTAAACCACATACCCTGAAACTGAAACATAAATCAAAATGCTAATTCATTTTTACGCTGAGAAATCATTGCCATGGTGTATTAGTTTCCTATTGCTGCTGTAACAAATCACCACAAACTTAGTGGCTTAAAACACCACAGATTTATTATCTGACAGTCAGTAGCCAGAAGTCTGGCACGAGGCTCACTGGGCGACGATCAAGCTGCCGGCAGCTGTGTTCTCTTCGGAGGCGCTGAGGGAGGAGCCAATTCTCGGCCTTCCAGCTCCCAGAGGCGGCCGCGCCCCTCGGCTCGCTGCCGGGGCGAATCCTCCCCACACCTCATCACTCTGACCTCACTCTGCTGCCCACTTCTTCCACTTGTAAGGCCCTTGTGATGACACTGGGCCCACCCGGGTCATCCAGGATAATCTCCCTATTTTAAGGTCGACTGATGAGCAACCTTAATATCACCTGCCACCTTAATTTGCTTTTGCCATGTAAGATAACATAATCATGGGTTCCGGGACTAAGATG